AGAGTTCGCCCCAAAAGCAGCCGGAACTACTTTGGCTGTCTTTTCATGTATATTTCCCGCTTCCAGGTTACTTTTTGAAGGAATAATTAAATACTTTTACTTTAATAATATTTTCCTGAATTTCGAAATCTGTCCGTTACCTTTCTGACTTATTTTCTACTTTCGTTTCGTTTTGAATTATCCCTCTTTGCTAAACAAATCAAATCGTCTGCATAACAATGAAATTCAGATGAAAAGATTTGCAAATGAAATCCAAAATTTCTGTGACCTAACGTTAGAAGTGTTAAGATATTTGAGTAGCTTCCCCTGACATTTACGAACTAAGATAACCTACCGGGGTAAATACACCCATTGGGATAACACAACAGGTAAGTTTTTTTGTGTTAAAGAACTATAAAAGATTTCGGAGAATGTTGGTAATGACACGACAATATTTGAGAACGTTTCTTCGTTTGAGGCCTTTTGAATTTCTGCAACGTTAACGTTGTTGTGATGAAGTCGTGCGCACTGTTTTTGATGCGTAAATTTATAGAAAAGTGAAAGAAAGTTTCATTTTATTAATTTAAAATCATAATTAAATGATAAGAAATGATTGTAATATTTTTTATGCGTGGCGCATTGATGAAGTTTTCCGTCCAAATTTTTCTTTGATACATCGATCAAAGGAAAAAATATTACATTCATTTATTAAGTCTTTTATTTTTGAAAGTTGTGTTAATTAGCTCAAAGTGGCAATTCAATATGGCGAACGCTCAAATTTTATAAAATAATCAAACTGCTTAATTCTGGGTCGTTTTGCATAAAATAATAGGAAATTAATTACAGATTGCATTTTTAAATCGATAATATATCATATAAAAATGAACTTCCCCTTTTCTCTTTTTAAAATTACTTTTAATTCTTATTTAGATTTAATTGACCAATTATATTTCTAAAATCTGATTTGTTTCTGTGAAAAACATGTGGTTTTCTGAGACGTAAATCAAACTGTTTGACTGCATTAAGTGTTCTAAAATCTAAAAAAAACCCAGAAATTGTTAAACGTTTGCTTTTTTACTGTCCATTAAATATTATCCTTATACAAAGAAAGCTTTTAAGATATAAAGCAGGTTACAGTAAATGTTCTACCGAGCTTCCTTCTTTACTCATCAATAAAATATTAACAATAGTAAATGGGAACTTCAAGAGTACTCTCTCTTTCTCTCTCTGATTATAATTAAAATATAATAAAAAAAAATAAGCAAAAGAGATAATGAAAATTATTAGCAACAGTGTTGACCACAGTCGTCGTATTTGTTTGGTACCATGAGGGCACATGACGTATTTGTATTTTCATCATTATTTTGTTTTTTTTTTAATTATTCCTCTTAAGATAAATTTCCTGTACTGAAAATTTGATGTGATACTTCCGATTTTTTAAAATAGCTTTTGAAAAAGCTTTCAACAACCTGGCACGAATATTTTTTATTGATTAAATTACATAAAAACATCATCAATAACAACAAACCAAAAAAAAAAAAAAAAAAAACCCACAAAAAAAAGCAATCATTTGCTGAGGAAATAAACACTCTTACAAAGCATTTATGGGAATACTGGTATGAAACAAGTCACAAGTCAAAAGCTGGTATGAAATTAATCTATCATTTGATATCGTACTAAGTGAGATTTAATTTCTTTCACCATTTAACTGATCAGCAACCCTGAAGCACCAATGTTTTTTTTTTTTCATGACGTTCCAACTTTTTAAAGTTTTTGTTTAGATTTTATCAGATAAACCGTTTCTTCACAGATTGTCCTCGTCCGATACAGAGTCTCTGTCACTCAAAAACCGCCTGTACCATTTATAAACACATGCACAATTTACTTGTGACATATTGTTTGATTCCGTTAACATTTTTAGAGTTTATTCAGGATTTTCCCCTAGTATAACACAATTTTTTTTTCAATATCTGCTGCTCCGTGACGTTCAACAACGTAATAATATTTGTCGCTTTCAATTAGGACTACCTCTCTTCTCAAACTGATTTCTTTTCATCGAAGCAAAATATTAAACGATAATTTGGGATGTGAATCAATGTAACAGTTCTTCATATAAAAGAGTAGACTTTATTTTCGTTTTTGTTCCATTTTACAGATAATACGGCAACAGACATTATCATGTTTATTAAGTGTGCTGTTTGCGGATTACTAAATTTTGACCTTCTCCGCGGTCCGTTTTATGCAGTTTTTAATTGTGGTCAGGTTTGAAATAAATCCTGATGATTTTAAAATTTTTAATACAAATCATTTGAATTTTTAAAAATATTTCTACAAAATTTTTATAGCATATGACTTAAAAAAATATGACAGGAGTCCACGAATTTATCGAACAACCCTCGTATAAGTATTTTTTAAAATTTTGTTTTATTTATTCATTATTTATTATTTGACAGAAAACATCTTAAAGTTAGCAGGGGTCGCAAAGTATAAGAACTAAAAGTTCATAAAACAAAGACTTTTAAAGGAAACACCACAATGTTCATGCACTAATGATGCACTTTTTTTGTAGCGGAGCCTCTCGATTCCGTTTTAATCTTTCATCTTTGATACGAAAGGAAAACAATGGAGGAAATCAACGCATATATCGAAGAAGAACCTAAATTAAACGATGCTGCAGTTGAGACAGAATTTAATACCGAGCCAACATGTAAACATGCAACATGCAACAATGTAAATGACCTTGATCCAAGCACCGCCATAGAATGTTTATCTGGTGGATTCGAGAATGTTGGAGTATTGGGAAAGGAAGAGTTGATGAAGTATGCCAATGATCCTTTCTGGAAAAGGTTGCGTCTTATGCTCCACATTCTCTTTTGGGTGGGATGGAGTGCGATGTTGGTAGCGGCTGCTATTATTATTGCTTTGGCACCAAGATGTCCTTCAAGAGCTGACCAGAAATGGTATGACAGACAGGTCGTCTATGAAATCCTCACAGAATCTTTCCAGGACACGGATCCTGAATCACAAGGCGTGTGGAAGGAAGGAGAAGGAATGGGAGACATTAAAGGTAATTATGATAATGTTTTACTATTAAGGTTTACATGTCCATTGATTTTACGTAACTGATTGCCTATGAAAATGAGAATGTGTCTGGAAGTCTATCAGGTAAAACAGTGTACAGTTCTGTCAAAGATATTACTAGTATATTCGCTAAACGGAATTAACTCCGACAAACTCTTAAAGATATTAGTAAAAAAAAAAAACATTGTGAGCGAACTATTCATAGAGATTTTTAAAGAAGACCGAAATCTGCGTAGGACAAATGAAACAAACAAAAATGGATTAAAACATTTTTTTATCTATTTTGGTTGTAACTGAGGCAAATATTAAATATTTTTATAAGTCAGAAAATATAAACTTTCTATCACGTTTAAAATTATACCTTTTTAATCTATACGTCAAGGTCAAGTCTTCTTTTCCTTGACCATCCCATTCTTGTAAAACTTTGGATAAAAAATTAAAGTAAATGTGGTTATAAGGTATTCGGATCCTCTGGTTCTGAAATCAGGAATTGACTGATTGAAAATGCTTACAAAAATGTCTCTGAATTCTCAGAGTAATGTGTTTTTACACACTGTAATTCTTCAAACTTCGTCGTTAAAGTTAGTCATATTATAAAGGAAAAATTAGTAAATCTCAAATAAATTATCGAGGACTGCAAATGAAAAACACCTACTATGCATTTTCCAAATCAAAGTAAAAAAAAACAACACCAAACTTTTTTATTCAATATGACCAAAATTCTAATTGTGACGTCATAAACTCGTGCATTTTCCTGTATTTTCTTGAAAAGTTGCAGAAGACACCAATTTTCAATGGAATTTTCTTTAAGAAAACACACAGCATATGCACTGCCCAAAACAATTTTCAAGTCATTTTACACAATAAATCCGTACATTGAAGATGGTGGCGGTAGTAAACATTTTCGAAAGGAAAATAACCACAGAAATGGTCATTTTGAGGCTTTTCTACAAAAGACTCAGAATTGTACTATATTAAAAACGTCATATTTCTACAATTGTCCTCTTTCAAGCCATAATTTTTAATGATTTATCATAATCATCAACTCGACTCATTTTAAAGGCAATTTCATACCTTTTAAAGAGTTTTAAATTTCTAGGGCACAATAAATTTCAAACCACACATTCTTCTTTAATACTTACTGGATCAGTAAGAATTAGTTTGCAATTTTATTGGAATTTCATAGACACTTTAATGAATATCAACTCTATACACACCATAAATTAAAGTCCAGGCTTACAAACAAAGATACGTAGCGGGTTCCAGTAAATGTTCAACCAAGCCTGTTTCGTTACTCCTCACTAAGATATTGACAGTAGTGAAGAAAAAACATCAAGAGTACTGTGCAACAATATATTCAAGAAGTGGTGTGAATCAGATGTGGATACTCAAAAATTCCACAGAACTTTAGGACAATTTGAAATCACAACATTTTACCTAAATCAACAGCTTAAGAAACTTCCGACTTTTCAACTGTATACGCAACCATTCCCCACGATAAATTAAAGTCCAGGCTTTTTGATATCATTGGCAGCTGCTTTTTCAATAAAAATGGAACTCGTATATTTACTTACTTGGTCATTGGTCATTTGAGAAATTATTTTGTTAAAACACACTCTGATTGCACACACAAGTACTCTAAAGTTGACATCAAAGAGGTGCTTGAATGAGTTTCTTCTTGACAATATCTATGTGGTTTTTGGAGACCAGGTCTTCCAACAATGTATCGGAATTCCCACGGGTACCAATTGCACTCCGTTATAAGCAGACCTATTTTTGTATTCATATAAAGCAGAATTTGTGCAAAATTTTACGCGTAATAGAAGAAAACACTTGCTGTGGCCTTCAACTCGACATTTAGATATATCGACGACTTATTTTCAACTAACAATGGTAATTTCCATTCCTACGTCGATACGATATATCCTGGTGAGCTTGAGATAAACAGATACCACAGAGTCTGACACATCTGGTTCATCCTTGGTTATTTTACTTGAAAAAGACGTTAATGGTAATCTAACAACCAAGCTATATATGATAAATGTGATGACTTTAACTTTTCTATCGTCAACTTCCCTTACTTATGCAGCAATACACCTTCATCACCTGCATACGGAGTATATATATCTCAGTTGATTCGATACTCAAGTGTGGCTCTACGTATGAACAATTTCTAAAACGCTCTGCGTTTTATTGAGTTTTGAACTTGAATACTGTACGTTATCGCCATATGTTTACATATTTATTGAGTATGTATTGATGTAATTGATGGATTAATGTATTGAGTTTTTTATGAAGTTTTTCGATATTTGGCAGGTATCACTTCTCGGGTGAACTACTTTTTGGAACTTAAGAGTAATGTTCTCTATATAAATTCAATTTATCGAAGTGATGATAATGATCATATGGCAGTTGTTGACCACAAGAGTATCGACAGTGCATTAGGAACGATGGAAGACTTTGATCAGCTCCGTAAAGTCACCAAGAAGAAGCAGAGTAAGTTGACCTCTCTCAATTACATAAAAAATACAATAGCAAGTAGTTTTACCTGAAAAAAGAAATTCAATTTTAATATCAATTAAAAGTGCCTTGAGTACGATATATGTACGTGTTGCTATTGGTTCTTGTGTCATAAAAGCACTAACGCTATTGATCATGCGTTGTGAGTATTCTATTTGTAAGTATTTTATAAAATCCGTTTTGCCCTTGTTACAGTGCGCATTATTATGGACTTCATCCCTAATCATACTGGGAAGACCAGTGAATGGTTTAAGAAGAGTCAGAGGAAAGAAGGAAAATACACCGAGTATTATGTCTGGGCTCAATGTGATAACAAATCGGATATATATCCAAACAACTGGGTAAATGTCAGTTATAATAACAATCAAAAGTATCTATACTTAGTTTCTCTGTATGTTATTTTAAATCCTCGTGTCCCTTTAGGGCTTTTGAATAATGAGACATTTTATATATCCTTTTTTAAAAAATTGTCTTTAGATGAGTCTGAAAGGCGGTAGGGCATGGACATATGACGACATCCGAGAAGAATGTTACCTCCATCAACTAGAGAACGACAAACCGGATCTAAACCTCTGGAATACGAATGTCCGGCAAGAATTGGAGGTAAGGAGAGCATTCAAATATGAGAAAGAAGTGGGTTTTTTTTGTTTTTTTTATTTACATTTCCATTGTATATAAACAAAATTCCATATAAATTGCTTGCTACATAGTGGTATATATACAAAGGATTTTTAAACTCACACACATACCCTCCCTTACATTCACTCACACATATCGGATTTAACTGGAATAATACGGAAAAAATTAAGGCTGCTTTTATAATTCCCTATTTCAATTGTTCACCAATCATAAAAAGCGATTATCAAAAGCAAACATATTTAAAGACATTCAAATTATATTCAGATCAAAATAAACATTTCAATTTGATTCAAACGTTTTCTTCCAAGAGTCCCATTTTTTATAAAAAAAATGACAGTTTAGAGTTATTAATTGATACACACCTCTCAATATCATATTATGAGAAAGAAGTTAATCTTTTTTGAAATTAATATTTTTTCAACAGGACATCCTGCGTTTCTGGTTGAACAAAGGAGTAGATGGCTTCCATATTTTGAATCCTGAGTATTTGTATGAAGATCAGAATTTCGGCGACGAAATACTGATGTCTGGGAAAGAAGGAAATGTATGAATTTGAAGTATATATATACAAAATGATTTTGAAATTCCACAGTTCAAAATAATTACTACTAGTAGTAAAATATATTTTTAAGGCTTATACTGACTTTAAGCACAACCAGACCTCACATCATTCAGAAAATCTGAAGCTGTTGAGCGTGTGGAAGTCCATACTTGATGCATACAGTACCAAGCCAGGTAGAGAAAAGGTTCTTGTAGTAACAGCTAAAGATGATGTAAACTCTACGATGAAGTACTTTGAGGCCGGAGCCACCATTGTACGTGTCACCCCCTTTTCAGACACCGGCTTCTCACTGACTGAACGAATCGAAGCTGAACTGAGTCATATGGATATTGAATCAAACAGATTTGGATGGATGGTTTGTTTGTTAGCTTTTTACGCCCCTTAGCTGACTGACGTTTTTCATGCTAATTGTTATCCATTATTTATACATTGAATTGACGACGGATTTTTCCGTTATTGCACGATCATGACAAGGAGCACACCGCAGGTGTGACCAGTCAGCAGGGGATGCTCACTCCTCCATGACGCCTGATCCCACCTCTGATGTTTTGGAAGTCGGTGTTTGTTCTGCTCCTGTTTTGTATTTTTTTTTTAATGAACTTTTGATCTTGAATACTGTTTGTTATCTCCATATGTTTCATCAGAGATATGTTTTACTATATTGAGTTGCCACCAATAGCCGGTAAAGGGATGCACCTTTTTAGCTCACCTGAGCTGAAAGCCCAAGTGAGCTATTGTGTTCACAATTTGTCTGCAGTTTGTCTGTCTGTCTGCCCGTCCATCTAGCCGTCCTTCCGTCCGTCCGTAAACTTTTCACATTTTCGACTTCTTCTCCAGAACCACTGGGCCAATTTCAACCAAACGTGTCACGAAGTATCCTTAGATGAAGGGATTCAAATTTGTTAAAATGAAGAAAATTACATTGAATTAAAAAAAAACAGTTTCATTCAAGGGGTAACGAAGAAATAGTGAAAATTCGATGGTTTTAAAAAATCTTCTTCTCGAGAACTACAGGACCAGGAAGGATGCTAAGAGAGATTATCTCTTATAATGTCTAGTGGGGTATTTTTCGAGAAACGATTATTTTGGGGTTTTCACGATTTCCATCTATGGTACACAAGGTGAATAAGCGTAGTAAGTATCATTTGTGAAAAAAATGTCCAGTTGAATAAAGAGGTGGGGGTGGGGGTGGGGGTCCTGTCAACAAGTATCTTTGACCTGTAATTATTTTATACGTAAAAGCCAATTCAATGAATTTTAGTACAGTAACAAGGATTCCAGTCGTCTAGCAAGTTTGAAACCCGAACAAGTAAAAGCTTTGATGACTCTTCAAGCTACATTACCTGGAGTTCCTTTTGTTTACTACGGAAATGAAATAGGAATGACTGATCATCCTTCACTACCAGAGCCGTTGAAGTACAGAACCCCCATGCAGTGGAACATGAAGGGAACGGGGTTTTCAAAGAATACAAAGTGGCTTGCACAGAATCCTAACTATGTGGAAATCAATGTTGAGGTAATGACAATATTGTTATAAATTTAAACTTGGCTAAAGATGATAAAAGGAATAATATTGTGAGATTCAATAGAGTAAAGAATTTTTGAATTAATGTATACCTAAACTTTTGTTATTTAAAGGAGGAAAACGCTGTCGGAAATGACTTCACCATCTTGAAGGTGTTTCGAAAACTATCATTTCTTACAGAAAACGAGTCCTTCCAGTGGGGGCACATGAATTTGTTTAGAGACAAGGATCTTCTAATGTTCACTAGAAAGACCGAGGGATTTCCTGGGTACCTTGTGGCCATGAATCTTGGATCTAAGAGGGAAATGGAGTCCTTTCATGGGGCCACTGGAATCCCTAAGAATGTTAAGGTGGTGTTCCATACCCACACGGATGATAACACTGTCATCAATCTGTCTGATAACTCTTCTGTTCTGGAAACTAATCACGCAATTATTTTGGAATATGAATAAATTTAGATTTCAATGGCAACTTTTAAGAAACCATTCATTTCATTTATACTTTTACACTGTACATATTTTTAAAAAAAATCTAGCTAGGGACATTTGCTTTCTTTTCAATTCTTGTACATTGAAAAACGAAAAGTAATAAAGTTAATATATAAAGATTAGATCAACTGCTGGAAATGAATATTTCGTAATTATGTTTTGTTTTGTTTTTTTAAATATTGACTCATTTGTAAGAATGAGGGAAATGCTATATGTTTTTAAGTCACCCGAATCACCCTTGGGTAAAGGGAAACAAAATTATGAATTTTATGCTCTCTGTCTTTTTATTTCCTGAAAGAATGAGCTAAAAAAAATACAAGCAATCTGTATTGTTTTGTGTATTTTTGTTCCTAGAAAAAATATGACTTTAGAAAGCATCATCAAGCCCAATGCAAAAAATGTTAAAACCATGACTCCAGGATTACGAAGTAGAATCACAATCTGACTATATCATGAAAGTTCAAAAAATATAAAAACTTATCTAACTCAATAGTTTTGCTTTTAAACTACTCGCACATGTATGGAAATATGAAACTGTCGATGTTGAGGTAAGACAAAACACTGTATAAATAAATGTTTTAGATTCCGGGAATAGAATGTTGAAGAATAATTTAGTGATGATTTGTATTATACTTATATTTTAAGATTTCTTAAATTACTGGTAACAGTCGGAACGGGCTGTTGCAGCTAAATAATTATAATGTCAATGTTAAGGTAGCAGAATGTGAATTTTAATGTTATTGATTTCGGAAATACTTGATAGAATGTTGAAAAACTATTTAATGAAGATTTGTAAATATATTTAGGTTTTTAATTAACAGTCGAAACGGGTGGTTGTAGTTGACTACACCACATTGAAGGTGTTTACAAGACTACATGTATATCTTAAAGAAAACGAGTCCTTCCAGTGGGGACACATGGAAGTTTTTAGTGATAGGGATCTTCTAATGCTCAATAGAAAGGCCGAGGGATATCAAGACACCTTGTGGTCATGATTTTGGTTAAAAGAGGGTAACAGAGTCCTTTCATGAGGGCGCAGGAATGCCGAAGGATGTCAACTTGATTTTCCGTACCCAAAGGGATGATAACGATACTTAACATATCCATCAACCTGGTGAACAATTCCAGAATTTTGAAATTAAATCACACAATAGTTTGGAAAACATAAACTTTTAACAAATGATACATTTATTTGCAGTATTTGTTTTCATTTATAATTGGAACCATTTTCACTAAAAAGTTTAGATTTTCCCAAATTCATATTCATGTAATTGATTTTTTTTAAATCACTGATAAAAATGTTGACAATTCAAATTAATTTTTGAATGTATTATAGAAAATTTGAAGAATATCTCAAAACTACAAGTGTTTCATAATAATTTTATATGAAGATCGTAAAACAAATACAATTATGTAAAAAAAAAAATCATTTTTTGATTTAAAATGGGGCAGGTCAAGTCACCTCAGTAGTCAGGTATCGAGTCTAAACTTCAATATCGTGACTTTAAAAGGGAAACTAATAATTAATCTAAAAAGTTGGAATTGTCATATCTTTCTCATTAATACGCAGGATTATATTTTTATGTTCGTGTATGAAAATGATTGCATTAATTTAATCCTATAGTACATTAAAAAGAGGGCCTGGGGGAGTAACGCTTAAGTTTAAAGTAGAAAATTTCTGTTTCAATAAAACGTATACACGACTGCTTGGTTTTTAAATCAACGATAACAAAAAGGGCTACACTGTATTTAAAAACGTTTCTTTCTTCCTTTAGAATTTTGAAATAAAAAATACGAAATACGATTTTTTAAAATCAAAAGTCAATTTAAGATAATTTTAGGACGTAATTCGAATCCGATTTAATCAGAATGCCTCTGATGTACATATGTAATTATTTTTTGACTTTGAACATCTTATAAATAAAAAGTTTGCACATGGTATGGATTTTGGTTAAAATAAGATCACAGGAATGAATAAATACATGTAACTGAAAGCAAATAATAGCTATATAATGCAATTATTTATTGATTTTGCTGACCACAAACAAGGGAAAAATCTCCTTCGTATTATATACTGTCCAGCGCAGTATGACCACTCATGCGCGACGTCATAAAAACGTCAATGCGCATAGCCATTTCATGCGTCAGAAAACTGCCTTTTATTGCACAGGTGTATATTTGATATAACTTGGTAAAATAATATGGAAGTTCTTCCGTATTTCGTAAGTATCTATTTTGTTTTCAAGGAATTGTTAAAATCAAATTCATTTAAATACAAGGAAATTCTTTTCTATCATAGATTTAAAATAATAATAAAAAAAATAACATGCATATGGATTCAGTGCGTTGTCTAGTTGCCGAATCCGTTGTTAGAAATGGATATTGGTTATTGTTTGGGGGGGGGGGGCATGATAATCAATGTATCTTCTGATTAATGCATATCTTAATTTAATAATAATAATATACTCATTAAGCTAATATGCCATCAAGTTTCGACAAATACATTTATCTATTTCTTGTTTACATGCACATTGAATAACATATAATTTTGCATGAAGAAAAAATTAGGTTCTCATTTGGGAGAGGGGGTAGGGTAATGTCTTTACAAAAATTTGAATTTTTCAATTAAAGTTTGAATTGTCATATAAAATTTTAATTGAAAAAATCAAATTTTTGTAAAGGATAGTAGGACTGACTTGTAACGTACAATTATAATGCGGCACAAATTCTTCTTTTCCAGTCTGTGAGAGAAAGGTACAAGTGTTTTAGCACATAATAGAAAATTGTCATATTCTCTGTATTTGTTTCAGGGCAAATAACTATTATCAAAGTAAACAAGGGAATAAATATTTGATAATTAATATAAGTTAATAATGAGTTCTTTCATGATTAGGCGTGTTTTCACGCTTTTGTATTGTTGAAGTATTTTTGTGATCATCGTAACAGTATGTGCTCACAAAGATGGATTATGCATTGTATCTATTATGGCTATATAAAAAGAAATATTTGCGTTAATGTGCAGTAATTCATCATAAAAACTGTTACCTATTGACAATCTGATGGTAAACAAATATTATTTTGTAATCAAATGTTAAAAAAAATGAAAATAAAATATAATTTTATGCATCTGTTTATTTATTTTGCAGGCAGTGATTTGTATCCTAACATTGGTACGTACGTGTACTTAACCACATTTATTTTTACCTTTAAAATATAATGGAAATAGGTCTATATATGAATTATCAAATAAGACAGCAAAAAAGTTCTTTTTTCATAAATACATGTACAATACTTCCTCCAATTTACATACCATTGTGGTACACAAAATGATTCATTCACGTTATAAAAAATATTTTCCTGCATAAAATTCTTTGATCATAATACTTTTAAACAAGGTGTTCTTTTTTTTTTACAGAAAAATTAAAGAAGGCATACATGTTACATACCCTTGCCAATAGTGCACATAATTTTCTATGCCAAAAAATTGAAACTTGCGAAAAAATGCAATAATTTGTTGTCTTTTCTAAACTCGTCAACAGTATATAATTTTTTTTTCCTTCTTTAGACCGAGGGTAAGACAATCCCAGACAAAGATAAGACCTGTCATTCCTCCTCAGAATGCGCCAAAGATAGCTGCTGTCGTGACGAGCAGGGAACGCTGGTAGATCCATCCGGGTTATTTGATCACGTGGGTAGGTGTTGCTCTCTTTCTATCTCGACCAGAACATTTGGGTTTGTAATGCCGTATACGTATATATGTAACACAAGCCCTTGTTTCTTAAACAGGGTACCCCCTACCTATGTTTTAATCACAAAGTATCTTTATAGTTAGTCATTTTCAGACATCAAAATTGACCAAACTTTTAGTAGTATTTCATTTCTTTATCCATCATTAACATTACCATTTGTCTCAACACATTATTAGTTTTTACATGAAATACTTGCACAAGCTTCCAAAGGTCTTGAATTAATTGATACATTTTGTTAAAAATAAATGAATGGTTTAAGACAAAGAGCCTCCACCACGGAATCTGGATTAACTCAAGTATCTGAAAGCCAATTATACCTAAATGACTTGTAGGTTGATAAATAATTGATTGATTGATTGTATATTGTTTAACGTCCCTCTCGAGAATTTTTCACATATGGAGACGTCACCGTAGTTGCTACCCATTTTTATCGACTTATGTCAGTCGCGGCCGAGATTCGAACTCACGACCTCCCGATCACGGAGCGAGCACTCTACCAACTGAGCTACCGTGAACGGTAGGTTGATTAAATAATAAATATTTTTTTGATACAAGTTTGAAGTGGGGTGTCTGAAATTTAGTTAGGTACCTTATGGTAAGAACTCGGTCCTTTATATGACTTGAATCCAACTTACAAAAGTTTGTGGTGTAAATTATTACATCCCAGAGGTTTTGTTAGTTGAAATTAAGCGATGCAAATGTTTTTTATACCCCAACGTTTTCCGGAGTCTTAGCGATCCAAACGCCTGTAGGTAACGATAAGTAGGGGTGTTCTGTATACGTAACATATGGCATGTATACATGTTACCTGTAACAGTACGCCTGTAAAAGAGAATTCAAATTAGTTTTATAAAGATGACTACTGTTTTGGTACGGACATACGTAACTATTATGTTTTCCTTTTATCTTCAATAAAAATAATGCGTTTAAAAACAGTGGTTAATTTAACTTCCAGGTCAGTGTTTAATATGTTGTTTTTTTTTCTTCCCGAAATCTTATCCTTGCAATTAAATGGTATGAACGAAATCAAAACTTTCCGAAATCTGCATGACAAGCAATTCTCATTTTAAACAACACATAACTGTCTGCAAAAAACCCTCTATCTTAACAAAATCATTCATTCGTTTTTTTATGATATAAAGTCTTCTAATTATATTTTTCTATAGGACCTGTGACGGAGGTGCTCAATGGTACCTGTGTTCCTCTTCACGCCCAGTTTGATGAGAACTGTGGAGATGCATGCCCATGTGATCTGACACAAGGTACATACTGCGTAAAAGTTGATTAAAAATGTCTTTACCCATAACGCGCTTTTCATACTACTACTAGATTTATATAAGAATAATACTATCAAAACAAGGATACCGCAAAGTGGAGTATCCTTTCGCAAAGAAGCGTGTCTACATGTCTATCAATCAAAGCAGTATTCCACATCGACTCCGATGAAAATTTGGTCTCTTCCATTATGCAAAGAAGTAGTCAAACTAACCCATTTACACACGATCCATTCTAACCCCGTGGCAAGGGGATAAAAACCCTAGAACTCTTGACAATATCTTGAGATGAGAGTGTTGTCCAAGTAATTGATCTGTTAGGTCCCAAACAACTGTTTTCCCCCAAAAGGGGGAGCAAGTAATGAAAAAAGACACCCTCCGAGGCTTCAAAATTCTATTCTGTTGGAAGGTTGCGGACACATTTTTCGAAATGTTTTATCCCTTTTTGTATGGGCAATATTTGTTTCAGAAATTTAATTTTAATGCAATATACTGTTCAATGAACATGTGCAATAAAGTTTCATTGGATATACCCAATTTTAATGCTTTAGTAGCATACCCACTTTTGAAGAGGGAATTACATCCTCCATACCAATGCACAGAATTTTATTACTTTTTGACCAGTCCTACAGTTTTTAAAAAAGATTTTAAAAAAATACGTTAAAAACCTCATTCAAAGTTTTGATACAAAAGTTAAAATAAGAATATTTCAGAGGTGCCTAAAATGTCTTTTATTTCTAAATAATTTCACCCCTCTCTTTTATTAGGTCTGGTGTGTGACAGAGTCGTCTCCGACAACAAGTTCACCCCGTCCATCTGCAGACCGAAGGATGTGGTCAGTAAATGGACCAATGATTTCCTGGACTGTTGGAACGATGCCAACTGTGTGCTCCCTTTGTAATTTACAATATGCAATATTGTAAAGTACCTCTAATTAAACTACGAATGTTAAGCTGATGTTAAAAATGATAACCAAACTTTATAATTGTTAGTATTTTTAGTAATTTATTTCTTGTAAAATACAGAACTTATATTGAGAAAAAAAGTTGCTTCATCTTTGTTGTAATAGTGCTTAGAGGTTTCTCTAAATAAGAGCGACAGAAAATTTTAAATCATTCTCATGACAAACATTGAATCATTGTGTACGTTGAAAGAAATTCTAGATATGAAGATAACGAACAGTTAATTTTCAAGTTCAAAAGTCCATAAAATAATACAAAATAGGAGCAGAACAAACATGAACCTGCAAAACATCAGAGGTGGGATCAGAAGCCATGGAGGAGTGAGTATCCTCTGCCGACCGGTCATACCCGCTCTGTGCTTCTTGTCATGATCGGGAAATATTAGTATGACAAAAAGAAAAACGTCAGTCAACATTCGACTCAGTGATAAATTGTATTTGCTGACAAGGCCATTGTATCGACAATAGAACTTACGAAATGATGATTTTAAACGAGACTACTGATATTCTTGTTTCATTAACTCGTTCATAAAAATTTAACCTTGTTTTAGAAATTCTACATACATCAGACATGCTCTTGCTTATCGAATCAACTGAGATATACAAACTCCGTATGCAGGTGATGAAGGTATTTGGCTGCATAAGTAAGGAAAGTTGACGGTTGTAAAGTCAAAGTCATCATGTTTTTCATAGAGCTTGGGTGTTATATTACCATTGACGTCTATTTCAAGTAAAATATCCAAATATGAAACAGATGTCTCAGACTCTGTGGTATCTTTTATCGCAAGCTCACTGGGAAATATTGTATCGATATAAGACTTGAAATACCCGTAAAAGATTGTTTCTTGACAATACGTCGTCGATATGTCTAAATGAATATTTAGATTAATCAGTTAAAATTTCTCGCGGAAAATGGTTTATTTTTTTCTTTGTCTCCGCCTTTAAAAAATTAAACGACCTGTTCTGTAATACACCATGTATGCTGGCGTGAATTTTTGAAAGTAAGTGAAAATGGTTAAGATACATGCATAAAACAGTGATCGAACTAAAATATCAATAAACATAATGATAACATATCTTTGAAAAAAAAAACACACCTACCACAGATAGGATTAGGTGCCTAGGAGGAACAAGCATTCCATATTGATCGGTCATACCAGCCGTATGATGTATTGATCGAAGAGGCGAGACTTTCCGTAACCTATTTCCGTATAAAACATATGTCTAACGACTGGTATGAAAAAAGCCAAATTACGACTTATTGTAGGTAATATTGATTACAAGATCATTACAACCATAAAATTTACCGAAATGCTGAATTTTAAACGAGGTTGTTGAGATCCCTGTTACATTAAGTTCAACTTATCTATGCTTAGCCTGCCTTTGTTAAGGAACTGATCGTACTAAAAGGAAGATTTCTGTGCCTATTCATTAAACTTTTTTTTTTCGTTAGAAATACAAATAGAACCTGAGCGAGAAAGTATTACACCTAAATATTAAGATTCTTTTACGTTTTGATGACGTCTGTATACTGTATTTCCATTACCCTTTGATTATGTGTTATTTCTATGCACAATGCTAATAGCTCTTATGAGGATAAAATATTTAGAGAGAACATGAGACCAGGGAAAGCAGAGAAATACATAATAATAGTGTACACAGAAATACTATGGTGTTGTAGGTTTTGAAACGATAAAATACGCCACGTCATGCACTATTAGATAAAAATATCACCTCTGACATACACTGTGACAATAGTCCTAAACAACAATGTTTGGAACAGCGTTCTTGTTCTTATTTCTAATTGCTAGGTCATTGCAAGCAAATAGTGAAAAAAGGATTTTGCTCAATGACCCGAACCTGATACACTCCCAGATGGAAGCTTTGGAGAGAAAAGTTCAGGACGTGATGACGAAATACTCGGAGCTGACAACGAAGTACAACACTTTGCTGACTAAAACGAATGGTTTGAATTTACTCTATGAAAATTGATAAGTACAATATGTAACTGTTCGATGAAATAAATTGAAAGTGAAGATACATGTAAGTTGCAAAATTTCATAAATCCTGTAAAACCAAACAAAAAAGCCGGGACCCCCGTCGTAATACAGGGTGCGGAATCAAGTGTAAAGGCGGAGAAATCATCCCCTGTCAATAAAGGAGTAATTACTGTAAAACGAACGTTTTCAGGTAACAGGTGGTATAAAACAGTCAAATTTCAAAATGTGGCTACCTCATTGGTATACGAAGTATGCACAAACAATGTCTTTATAATATTATTAATTTCAGTTAAGTGTGAAGTTTTGCATTACGTCAAGACCTTTTCGTTAGAGGCATCCAGCGTAAACAATTAACGTGATTGGTCAACTCATATTATCAACATTAACACGAAAATTGTCTGTCGCACGAGCAACCAATCAGGGATATGAAGAAAGTTCCATTCGTAAAGCTTGCGGTTAGGAGGCGTGTCTATTTACCTTGAGCGCAGCTGTCAAACTAGATAGTGACGTAACGTAAAACTTCCCACTTAACTGCAATCAATAGTAAAATACCCACCGTTAACGATTTTGTACGACTCTTTACAGTATATTCTGTAACATCAACTTATTTTCCAGTAGCCTAGCTACCTCCATTATAAAATTTATCTTTCTCTGTACCTGCACTTGCGTATCAGATTAGTTTGGTGGGGATAACTACATTTACAATTATATACAAATGTATATATTTTTTGTTTCCATGTTACAGGTGGCGGGATATTTGTTCGATGGGGACGGAAAGATTGTCCAGGAAATAACACTGAGCTTATTTACTCAGGTATAAGAATAACAAGACATTGTTTCAATTATTAAATGGGTTTCTTTATTGGTATTTCAATTTGAATATTGTGATCGCAAAATTTATCTTTTCATGTCATTGGCCACTGCAAAAATGAGCATTAGGCCTAGTGTAAAATGCATGCATCTTTTTGTCTAAAAACCTTTTCAACATAGAGAGTACAACAAAACATGCATACATGTCTAATCTGCAAATTAAGGAGTACAAGTTACTGAATATTTTTCATCTTTTGAATTTTCTCTCTTTTTTCCTCTTCTTCCCATTCTAGGATTCGCTGGTGGTTCATGGTATGACCACCAAGGTGCGGCTGCTGATTTTGTTTGCCTTCCTCGTGACCCTGACCTCACAATAAAATTTTCTTCAGGTTACGCCTATATGTATGGCGCAGAATACTTGGTCCAGCCACTGGCAATGATGTTCCGTGTTCAGTTTGCAGAAGCACGAAAGAATCTACTGTTCTAATGATTCCCGGCAAATCTTCTTGCTATGACGGCTGGAGTATGCAGTATCACGGAGATCTTGTATCTGGAATGTACTCATATAAAGCTGCAGGCCAATATACATGTTTGGACGAGCACCCTGAGACGTTGACGGCGGGGCAGGATGACCATGACGGGAAATTGTTTTATCCAGTTCGGGCTGTTTGTGGTTCTCTAGCTTGCCCTCCCTATCACAACAACAGATATCTTACATGTGTTGTCTGCACTAAATAAAACTAGTATAAACCCCATTTTCGTGCATGTTTCCTCCATTTAAAAATTAATTGCGTAGCTTACATGGACATGTACTCAAGTCGCACAAACAATTTATGTGTTAAAAATGTATATACTATAGTCATCTCGAACACTCTGTTTTGAGCAGCCCTTTTCAATTGTTCCCAGCTCTGCCCCCCACTGTCTGATTTCCTCTTCGCATAGTCTTCATCAGGTAGTTCAATCATGACTCCAGGGTGGGAGCATAGTGAATGATCAGTTTTACATAAGATTATACAAGGATAAAATTTAAGGAGAGAACGAAAAGTACTCAAGCTCAAAAGTTCATTTGAAACCAAGTGATGGATCAATTACTGCTCATACAATTAATTACAAGAATTAAATGATTACTTTAGGCATTGTGTATCTTTTTAACAACCAGGCCCTGATGTTATAACTGTTATTAAAGAATTTTTTTTATTTATTGAAGAATTACCCATGGCCATGATCACTTTGACACAGCTTCCTCCACACAAAGCCAACATATTTTGAATTTGTTTGTCCTAAGAAACCTGATTAAAAGTGGATATTTAAAAGAGTAAATGAGTCGCAATCGATTCTACAATTTTCTGGTACATATGAAATAACCTGAACATCCTAAATTGCCATTAATGTTGAATATTTTTACTTCTGATAAAATACTTCTAGCAAGTTACTTTTTCAGATATAAAATACCTAAGATTCAATCAACAAATAATATTTAAATTGAAAAAATTATTTTTGAAGCTAGTGGATTAATTTTAATTGAAATCACCTTTATTGTTCCTATCATAAAATCATGGACTGAATGCTCCTTCGTGGGATTGATTTTTTTTTTTTGCGCAATTCACAGCTGTAATTTGGAGGGCAATTATCTCTAAGCAACAATAGAGATTTGACACACACGTTCCTATTCTTCCTATTTCAAACAACAAAGAATGAAATGTTTCATTTCTAATAAGATATTTGATACAAAATTTCAGATAAACATAAAACATATTAAAATATTCTTAAAACACTCAAGAAAATATAGAATTTTCAACCCAGTTTATTATTATCAAGCTAAATTAATTAATAATTTTCATGTAAATATTAATAGACTTAAGATTTTGAGTAACTGAAAGAAGGAAGATATTTTTATTTACAAAATGAGGATACTATAGAAATGTAACAACATACTAAAATTAAGTAAATTACAATAACATGTAATTGAAAAAAGGTTCAATTACAAATTACTTTCAATGACTTAGCGAAATAAAATTAACTACAGTCAAATACCATTACTTTTTTTCAGTTACCCCATCCCTGTTTCAAACAATAGAAATCAGGAGCAGAGCAAACTTAGATATCTAGTAAAAATTATAATTATAATGAGCATCCCCTGCCGACTGGTTACACCCGCCTTGTGCTCCTTGACATGGTCGGAAAATAGGAAAAGCT